GATCTTCGAATCATGTGATCGAAATCCATCTCTTCGCGATCAGAATTCGCTTACTCTTCCTTTAAGCTTCCTTTCTTCGATTCTACAAAACATCAAAATGTGACCTAGTCACATCATGTAATAAGAATCTCCAAGTAGGAACTTGATATAGTCAGATAATGGACTTTACCTGAAGCATAGTCGAATTTGTTGACTTTTACCATTCTTATGGTCTTTCAGGTAAATTGGGCAGCTTCGCAACCAATGCCCCTTCTTTTGGCAATAGAAACATATGGACTCTTTGGTAATGGTACATTGGACTATCTCAGACTTAGCCTTTCTCTTTACCATTTGGTCAACCGGGTTGACTATGGCCGATCCCTTTCCATTGGGAAGAGATGACTTTTCTGGACTTCCAATGTTTCCATTGTCAATGTCCATGAAAGTTTGGGAAATAGATCTTCCAATCAAATTTGCTTTACCAGTACCCTAAATCATTGCTGATTCAGCAGCAACAAGAAAATAGGTAAGATCAATAAGGGTCATGTCGTGATCTGTCATCAGGGAGTGACTGAAGAACCAAGTCCACAACCACCTACCTCGAGACTTCGACACCCAACTCTCCCAGCCTGTCAATATGTAACTTCATCTCCAAGATGTAAGCATATATAGACTTTGCTTGCCAATAGGGATTGAGTGACCTTGAACTTTTCAAGAACTTGTGGATTAGGGAGAATAATTGGAGGAGATGGAGGAAGAGAAGTATGATTTCCATGATCCAACCACGGGACATCATCTTCATCAGAAAGCTTGTTTCAAGGGATTTAGGAAGATCATAGTTGTCTGAACCAGACATCTATAATGGGAGAAATTCAAGTTAGTGTAAGAAAATCGGGATAAAATAGCCTTGGAAATTCTGAGAATTGTGATTTCACTTTCAAATCAAAGTATTGGGTGTACTCCCTAATCTTTGATTGGATAAGACTTAGAAGAGAAAAGAACAGAGAATGAGATATATGAATTTCGTAAGTACCAGAAAAAACTGACCAAAATTGATTAAATACCTCCTTTGTCTAAAAACTGTCAAAACTGTCATAAAACAGTTTGGCAACAGTCAAAAAACTGTCATAAATCCGGGTTTTCTATAAGGATTAATACCAAGTCAAAAAACGGGTCAAATATTCTAAACTGGCAGCTCGATCCCAGCCAGGGGCTCTGCCTCTTGGACCACGCCAGGGGCTGCCGCCCCTTGGACCCCGCTCCCAGGGGCGCTGCCCCCGGACCCCCGTTCGTTCAGGGGATTTTCCCCTAAATGACAGTCTACTTTTAATCTTGAATAAACTTAAACAAGTGTGCACTCCACACCTTCCTTACTTGTTTAATATTTGTCATATCACTTTTGGTCAACAAAGTAATCCCATTACACTTAAATCACATTAGTGAAACAAATCACCAACAGTTAGTTGGGTTAAGTCCTCAATATAACACCCAATATGAAATATTAAGGCTAGGACCCAACACAATATTTTATAACTTGGAAGAGGGATGCCGTAATCCAAGCTATAAAATATTTGAAGGTAGGTAAATGACGATTTACAAATTTCCACCACAAAAACGAAAAAATAGGTCTTAAGTGAATTGAAACTCCTAGATCCTTTGAGATTCATTGAACTTTTCAATGGCATGTTTAAATCTCGGTTGTGCCCTCTCAAGTTTGTGACTGAGATGCCGAGGATCACAAACAAGGTGTGAATAACCATGCAAATTAACTTGGTACCCTTAATCTTTATCACCTAATCAATGTGCCGGTTACCCACACGCGCTCCACAGATCTATGATAAACATTAAGTCACCCTTTGCCACTCTTACTAGTCCATGTTAGTGTGCCGGTTACCCACACACGCTCCACCAACGACTTGATAAGGTACAAAGTGTACTTTCATGGGTTAGCACCAAATTCACATTTTTCCTAAGTAACTAAGATTGGGAATTTATAAGTGTTTAGTTACTTAGTATTTATCATTATACTTTTAATGAAGGGATAATTAATGTCCTGTCAAACCCGTTCGGCTAACGACCCTCCACCAGTCAAGGAAGCGGTGGGTGAGAGTGGACACCCATTAAACTGTCATTTTATAGGCAGTAACCTTATACCCCCCTTATAGACTGACTTCGTGAATGAGGCCTACTAACGGTAAGACTGACATACTCTTATCCATATATATAAATATTAAACCTATAATATTATAATAGTATAAGGGTTGAATTTTAACTTTTCAAATTCTAAGGGTTTAACTTGGAATTAAAGTATTCATGGGGGGAAACTTTACAAATTCCAAAACTTGAGGGCAAGTTTTGAACAATTCAAAAACTTTTGGTTTCCATAACCTATGAGTTTAAAGTAGTTTAATGAAAAACTCTTCAAGTTCCATGAGACTCTTCATTTTCATAACTTATGGAAATCTTATGAGTTTTAAAAATCATAAATGAGACTTTTCATATAACTTGAGGACAAGTTACAAAAACACATTTTATGAACAACTTTTAGATCAATTTGGATCGAAAACAAATTATCACATAATTTTTCTATTAATCTAAACTAACTCATAAGAACAAGATAATTCAAATCATCAATCTTCAAGAAATTAGCATGAACATATAAACTAATACAAACCTTGAAATTATGACAATTATCTTTTAATTGGATGAGAATAAACATTACCATAACATCAAAATCAAATTTTATGAACAAAAACACTTTTTGGTAATGATTCTAATCTAAAATAGGCCAAAAAACTCGAACATATGCTGTCAGGGGCTCCAACTCGCCGAGTGCAAGAACCAACTCGACGAGTTGGATGAGTTTACACATGGACTCGTCGAGTCCCTCAATGGACTCGTCGAGTCCCCTGTCTAGACAGCAAAAAACTTCGATTTTCAGCCATTTGCATCAAGTATAATTGAAAACAAGCCTTGGCTCTGATACCACTGATGGGTTTTTTATACTACAACATCCTATGGTGCACATACAACCCTAAATACCTTGGATCTATGTTTTCACTAATTATACATGCAAATGGTTTCCAAGGTATTAATCCTATAACTAGCATGCATTTGACATAAACCATATAAGATACTAGTTAGGGTAACATACCTTTTTAAGTAGCTTGAGGTCTTGAAGTATTTGGCCTTAAGAGCTTAGCCCTAATAGTGTTGAAGCCTCAAATGAAGTCACAACACATCATGGACAAAGGATGAAACTTGAGAGAGAATTCATACACACCAAAACCATCCATATCCTCCAAGAATATAATAGTGGTGATTTTGGCTATGAAGTAACATATTTATATGTGGAATTCCAAAGGTCATGGCTTAACCCAAACCCATACCCATGGGTTTATGATCCATGGTTCATGTGGCCCAACTCTTTATGTATCCATACATAAACTTGGTCCAACATGGATCATAAGCCCAACACATATAAATATAACTAATTACCATAATTAGTCCCCATAGTTTAATTAGTCTCTTTTGATCACTAAATTAATTCGAAATTAATTCTTGATCAATACTAGTTAAAACATATGATTTCATATTAATATATTAGAACTTATAATATATTAATAAATCATACATAACCTTCTCTCAAGAGTCTATCCTAACAAATTGTCCTAATGATATGCAACCCAAATGGACCATGCTACTCTCGGGTCAAGTAAATACCAATAATAGTTATGAGCTTAGACATATAATCCAACAAAAAGAACCCATGGTTTTGCTATCCTACTCCTAATGTTTGCGATTGTGATAGCGACTGTGGGTTTGGTGCTTTCCGTGTTGTTAATAGGAAATATGCAGGTGAGTTAGGGTTTTAAACATTATACGATTCACATATCAACTGGAGATCTACTTAGAAGTGAAGTAGCAACAGGTTCTGAGATTGGAAATCAAGCAAAAGAGTACATGAATTCAGGACGCCTTGTTCCAGATGAACTTGTCACAAATGTATATAATATCATTTCACTAACTTAAATCACATTCACTTTCTTTCCAAATTAGATAAACAAACACTTTATTTTATAGATGGTGATTGGGCGACTTTCAAGAGATGATACAAAACAAAAGGATGGCTTTTAGATGGTTTTCCACGCAGTTTTCCCCAAGCAGAATCACTTGAGAAGATGAAGATCAGACCAGATGTGCTCATTGTTCTAGATGTAAGTTATAATAAGATTAACACATATCTTGTTATTAATTCTTTATATGTTATAATTTAATCCCTTAAACGTAGGTCCCTGATGAAATTCTAATTGATAGATGTGTTGGTAGAAGATTGGACCCTGAAACAAGAAAGATTCTAATACGATTTTATTGAGTTGTATGAACTTGTGCAGCATGCAGGCAACATATTGCAGAGACTGTAAGTGGGAAACTAGAAACCCTTACCCATTTACCTCTTGTTAGTACTATGTTAGGTAGTTAGGTAGTAATATTTCCTAGTAATGCAAAGATAACCTGCTACTATTCTTTGGTTACAAAAGGTCTATGATAGAATCAATAATCATTTCTATGAAGGCCTTTGCTTATGAGATGTTGGAATAAATCTGCTAAGGAAAAGAGATGTGATTTGATTATATGTTAAGGTTATCAGTTTTTTATACTCCTGGTTTCTTTCATTCATTCAGGTATCTACTTTGTACAGTAGGATCTGTGTACATTAGGTCAAAGGAGGCTCCTGCTAAGGAAACCTTAAAAGATCTTGTTGAAATGTGTCGTGGCATCCAACATCCTCTTCGTGGACTCTTTCTAAGAAGTTATCTTTCTCAATTCAGTAGGGATAAGTTATCTGATATAGGTTCCGAGTATGAAGGGTAAGATTGTCAAACTTGTACATGTTTCAGACTTTCAGTTATCAATTGCAAAGTCATTGAAGTACTAAAATACCCTTTTCTTTTAAGTTTAGACTAAAATTTGAAATTGTCCCAATGTCTACTGAAGTTTGTATTTTTTTTCATATAAACCTAAAGACTAAGTTCATCTACCTCCGAGCCTAATGGTTCAAACAGAGCTTCCACTTCACTTGCTTCAACTTCATCTAAACTTGAAGGATTCCACTTGGGATTCTGATTAAATTTCAAAGATATAAAAAAGAATGTCAACATTATTACATCACACACTTCCATTTTTTTATTACTTATAATTTGAAAAATCTATTCAATTATAGCATTGTACTCAGATAAAGTAATTCATGCAATTTTTCAAACCTGATCCTTATCCACCAATACTGCCCTAACCCCTTCAGCAAAATCACTTCTTACAGAAAACCTTAAAGCAATGCGATATTCAGTTTTCATAACACCATTTAACTATACACAACAAAAATCATCATATCAAACAAAATTTCATTAAATCTCAACCCTGAATAAATAAATAAATAAATATATTAAAAGTTTAAAAGTTAAAACTTACTGTGGATAATTCATGTTGGCTGTTTCTGCATGCAGATGCAACTCTAGAGAAATACATTTGTGTAAGGAAAAGAGAAAATGGAGCTCCTTTCTTAATCCCCACAATAGCATCCTTTACCCACTGTGAAACTGCACACAATAGGGTGTTTCTTTTTACGAATTTGCCCCTATTAAGCGTAGTAACTCAAAAGGAAACAGCTTCAATGCCTTGTATTCTTACCTGATGCATCAGTATTCTCCTGATACTTTTCCAGCTCTTCTGTAATTTCTTTAACAGATTTATTTGCACAAAATGTTGAAACTATTTGAGGTAAAAGTGACTTCAATTTGTACTCTGACTCAGGGTTGCTACTATACTTCCCTAATATTGCTTTAATCTCATCATGTGGATCCTCAAAACTGTATACAAATCACAAATATATATACATATACATGATATATCTATAGCTTATGTGTCATTAGGATATGGAAATCAAAGGAAAAGTAAGAAATATACAATGTAGTTGACAAGAGAGTCACCTTAAGTGGGCCCAGATTTCCAGATGGGACAAAATGTGTCCCAAAACCTACATAAAGTGCATCAGCTGGATTTAAAATTATGTTCCCTGTGATTCCAAGATAAGCACCTGTGCATACAAATGAATAATCACATGAACATGATATTTCCAATTTTTTGTTCTTTCTATGTTTGACTGTTTGTTAAGTTAAGTTTTAGTGACAATATTTACCAATTGATCCTTCTCCTGAAGTTTGTGCTGCTATGTAAGCAAATCCAACATCTGGAAACAAACCAATTCCATTCTCTGGCATAACAAAAATAGTTTTCTAGAAAAAAGAAAAAAAGATGGTTACTTTATAACTTATGGTTTGGGATTATGATGAATTTTACATTTTTACAATTTTACCACATGATTGTTGTTGGCTTTACCTATGTGGGATCCCTAAATTGGCCAAGAAATTGAATAAAGTATGAATATTTACTACCTTCACTATGTGTACTAATGCCCTACATAAGTTTAATGGTTATTTATTTTTTTCTTTTCATATTTTTGTACACATATCATGAATAAAGTACTGAACTTTTTTTTTATAACTCATTTGAAATCTTCTATATCCAGGTGGTGTTGGTGGCAGCAGAAGGGGAGAAGATGTCATTCACCCCTTAAAATTTCCCATGAATATCTCTTTAATGGTACTTCCCATAAAGTCATGTATATATAGATTATAGAATCACTTTTTTAATGTTTTGCAGCCCGACATTGTTACCGGTGATATTAATTTGTAATTTTTTTATTTAAAATGATACTTATCATAATTATCTCATATTTTTTTGGTTCTTTGAAGGGTGATTGTATAGGAACTAGTATGTTAAAATTTGGTTGCCAGGTACTATTAACCTCATATTTTACCTCATTACCCCATTTTTAAAGTTATTTTTGTTTTTTTGGCTTATTTTTACATATTGAGATTTGTTGGTTTATGTGAATCTAATGGTTGCATTATTCAAAATTGTAGGTCTTGTTGATGTGCATAGTGTCAAGCAAAGTAGCTCGGATGTTGTGAAGGTGGGCAACAAGTTCTTGTAGTTCAACTATTATTTGTTAATGACTTTCATCTCTTTCACATTTGACGTATTACATTTGTCTACTATTGGAATGATTATTTGTATGACATTAACTTTTGTGCAATGGATTGTATTTTTTGTATATGGTATTTTATTTTCTATTATGAGACATGAAATGCAAATTTAATTTGAAAATTAGTAAATCTATAAATAACTTTTTTTTAAAAAAATTTAAAATAACAATACGCAAAAATGTGTGTCAACTTCATTTATGACATGACCTTTCTTGACAGCAGCTTTAATGATACGCATTGCGTGTCCTAAATGCGCATCGTAAATGCGCGTCGTCTATAGACGACGCGCAAAAGCGTGTCGTCTCTCGTTATGACAGGGCCTTCCTTGACACGCATTTGCACATCGTCTGAGCGTTTTACGACACGCAATGCGCGTCGTAAAAGGCTGTTTTTCTAGTAGTGTTTGTATATTGTATATTAACTGTACTACTTTTTAATACCTAAAGAAAAACATATTAACTTAATTGTTGCATACACATATAACTACTTTTCAAAATGTATTTAAATTGTAAAGCCTCGTTACCATAAAAATGAAAATTTTAGAGAGTAATAAAAAAATTAACTATCAAATGTAAAAAGATGTCAATAAATTATTGAAATAAAGTAGTTTATATAAATTCAATCTTAATTTTTATATCAGATATTTAATTCATATTAAACCAAATTTCATGTTTTAGTTTAACATCTTATTATAATATTAGAACGCCCTTCCTTTAGAATGTAAGGAAAGTGGAGTTAGTAGGATTTTTGATTGATTTACGAGGATACTAGTTTATAACCCGTAGGAAATTTTGGGTGATTTTATGAGGAATTTTGGGTGATTTTAAGAAACCAAGGAAATTATGAGGAATTTTGGGTGATTTTATGAGGAATTTTGGGTGATTTTAAGAAACCAAGGAAATTATGAGGAATTTTGGGTGATTTTAAGAAACCAAGGAAATTTGATAACTTTGAATTTTCATACCACCCACTGACTCAATCTACTTTAATAAATGAAAGTTTTTTTTGCCACTTGTTACACTCTCATTTAATTTGTCAAATGTCATTTTATGGTTATTTTGAATTAATTTTTTTTTCTACATGTCATTTTATGAGTTTTTCTATTTTATTAAATTTCATATAATACTTTAATGTAATAATTACAATAAATGTAGTAATAAATACATATCATTTTCATTAATCAACTTACATTTTAATATCAAAATTCTTAAAATTAAAGCTCATTAATTTCTTTTGTTTATTTATTTAAATTATTTGTTTAAATTTAAAAGATAAAAAACATTTCCATTATAATAATTTATTATTTTTCTTATTTTCTTATAAATTCAAAGTTCTAAAATATTTTGAGCTTTATATTTAACTTTTTTTTAAATTAACTCATATAATATATGAGTCTCACAACTAGTAAATAATAAATAATAATGAGAGTTATAGGGATATATAGGTTTTGGATTACTAATATTTTTAAGGGGTTTTCTTTATGTACCCCTAAAATTCTTATTTCTATCCCTATTTTTGTCTTTTTGTCTTTTTTTGTCTTTTTGTTGTTTTTTTAATATTTTTAATAAATAAATGATATTATTTTTTTCGTTTGGACTATCCTTGTGTTTTATTTATTTTGCCTATTTTTTATTTCATTATTTTTAATAAACACATGTTATTATTATTATTATTATTATTATTATTAAAAATATATTTTTTTCATTCAGATTATTTTGTGTTAATTTTTTTTCAATCTAACTATACCTATATTGTTTTTCTATTCCGATTATCTATGTGTTATTCTTTCGTTTGGAATATTCATATATTTTTTTTTTCATTCAGACTATTAAAGAGATATCTAATCAAATCAGTTTTTATAAAATAAGAATAATGATTACAATAATAATAATAATAATAGTAATAATAATAATAATAATAATAATTATTATTATTATTATTATTATAATAATAATAATAATAATAATAATGATAATAATAATAATAAAAGACGACAAAAAGACAAAAGACAAAAAAGACAAAACAAAAGATTTTTATTTTATTTTTATTATATGATCTTGTTGCAGATTTATACCGGGATTGACCTATAAGACTTCATTAAACCCTAGAGTAGTTCTTTTTTACTTTAATAAGTTATCTTTGAATCACCGCAACGGTGTAACGCACACTTAAATAAGCATTAGAGAACAACAGACATAGTAGTATGTCGACCCATTTTATCTCATTCTCTTTTTCAGATTTCCATTATAACTTTGAAGTATTTCATAGGAAAAAGCTCTGGCTGATAATACGAGGGATCTTCTGATAATACGAGGGATCTTCTTGGCCAGAAAGAACAGGCAGAAAGAAACTTAAATATCTTTATACTTAATTTTTTTATTTCTTGTAGTTCTTTTGCATTATATTTTATATGTGTTTGGATTTTTAGAGATTGGCTGAAGGGCTTGATGCGGAGGTGCAAAGATGGTGCAGGACAAAGACGTAAGACGAACATGTCAATGTGATTGAAAGTTGAGCAATTTAATGATATGGCTTCTCAATCTTATTTTCTCCTACTTAATGTTAGGTTTTGGATTTATTTTTACTTTTTTTTTAAACCTCAATTGATTTTATTGAATTAGAGCATCTTCTCACCAAATACAATAACCAAAAAAATAAAAATAAATAATATATCATATATTGGTACGACGTGGTCTTTTATACGTCTGTCAATTCCCAGAGTCGTCTCGTGTATATGCCTAACACGATACGACACAAATTGTTTTTGCATAACCTGAACACGACATGACATGACATTGTATTTTTTTGCCTAACACAAACACGATCCAACTAAAAACCGACAAACACGACAACACGACAAAAGTAACATAAAAATCTCTTTTGTTTAATTAATTCATGCTTAAAAATGACAAACACAACAACACGACAAAATAACAAAAAAATATCTACGTCCTGAAATTGATTCATGCTTAAAAACCAAAAACACGACAAAAAAAAACATAAAATGGTACTAAATGTCCTCAAATTTATAAGATAAAATAGGAATGCATTCATCTACTCGTGTATATCTTTGCTATCCATTTCCATGATATCATCGGTAAGTTCTTCTAAAGTTAATTATTCATAACCTACAAAACAAAAAACATAATGTAAACTTAATAAAAACCTTAATCCACCAAATTCAAATTTTCAGCAAGTAAAAAAACAAATACCTTTAATTCCAAACAATTAATATTTGGTACAAATTATAGCCTCAACAATGTTGTGCTTCAAAGAACTTCGATATTGATTAAGAACACGTCCACCACTATTAAAGGCAGATTCATATGCTAAAGTGGAGACCGGGATGCTTAAAATATCTCAAGCTATAGAACCAAGCTCTGGATGACGATATTGATGTGCTTTCCAAAAAGAAAGAACATCTAAATCCTCATCTATGTCACTTCTTGTCTCATCTAAGTACATCTCCAACTGTGACTTTTAAGACAAAGGAAACTCTATACTTTCGTAAGCCGTGAACTCCTATGTAAAAGAAAAATATTTATCAAGAGTAAAAAACTTATACATTAAGTTAAGAATATATAAAAATATTTAATGAGTAGTTTCTTACCTTTAACATGTCTCTCGTGTTTTACTAAACATTGTTTCATTCCTCTTTTCATGCACAACCTTTCTTGAATCACCCCTTGATACAGTTGAAGTTTTACAAGACATGTGTGGATCAAGAACATACTCTTTATAGAGATCAAATAACCACTCCTGAACACGATCAATGTTATCACAAGATTTGCTCCCATAAAGTTTTGTATAAATGAACTCAAAGTATTGTATTTTATAACGTGGATCCAAAACTGCAGCCATCACCAAAATCACACTGTACTAAGACCAATACTTTGAAAACTTCTCGTACATTTTAGAAGTCATTCCCTTCATAAACTTATTTGAACTTTCCATTTCTTCTTTTAAAGTTTTTTCAACCATAGAAACAGAATGAAAATATAAGTTCGCTGTGGAGTATTTGTTTCCAGAAAACATGCACGTAACTTCATAAAAAACCTCCAAGAATCTAAAAATCTTTTCTCATTTACCCTATTCATCATGACTTAGGAAATCCAAATAATTAGAATCACTAAGTGCTAAATGAAAGAAAGCACGCCAATAAATATAGCACT